CTGCGGCCGCAGCTCGGCGGCACGCGGTTCTGTTCAAGTCGCCAAGCGTGCAGCAGCGCCGAACCACGCTTCCCGGCCTCGGCGCATGCCTTCAGGGGCCCCCTATCGCTGGGCGCACCCCTCCAACACCGAACATGCGCCCGGGGGGGAGGGCGGCCCGGGCTGCCCAGGCCAAAGTGGGCCGCCCTCGAGCAAGAGGCGGCCGGTCTGTGTGCTGAATGAATGAATGAACCCTCCGCCCGGCGGGATGCCGGCTCTTTAAGTAGATTATGGTTAGTGTCTGGCCTTCTCCATCGCCCCCATTTTCTCAACTATCATATCAGGCATTCACACACACACTGCATACTGTGTTAGATCTACATACTGTATGTCGCTGCTGTTGCTGCATGCACTACCACTCCCGGCACCGGCTGTGCCACGCCTGCTCATCTGCACCCTGCAACATGTGCTCCCCATCCGTGTAAATCTGCACCCAGCATGTTTCACACTGCTACAACCGCAAGCCTCGAGTTCAGGGATGGACAAGGTGGCATGCGCGGTTCTGGCTAGCGGGAGCTGGTATTGGCTGGTGTGGTGATTGAGTCTTTGTGGAGGCCTCCCACCCACCACAACGGCCAGGTGTGGGCCAACACATTTTCAGATGCATTATTGTTATGGTTTTGCCCGATGAATCTGCCAGGTGCCCTGCCTGGCTGGGCAGGTGTTCCTGCACGTGGGTGCACCGCAAACATGGGCTTCACTTGGCGCAGCGGCAGCCGACCGGGCAGTGCTGGGTGGGGCTGTCGGGGAGAACAGCGCTGCATGGTGTGCTGTGGTCTGCCAAGCGGGCTGCGATGTGGTCTGGACTGCAGGCTGCAATTGCAGGATTTATGCAGGAGGCTTTACCTTGTTTTGCCCCAATTATACAGCCGCACCGCCACAAAAGCGCGTCACCCACGCTGGGGGGTGTCTCATTTTTGCTAGCAATTAACACTTCTGAAGGCACCTGAATCAGACGCCCCTGTGCTCTCGGGAATGAAGTTCGGAGCGGCGCGGGGTGAAGTTCGGAGGGGCGCAGAGTGTCAAGACGGCTGCTAGCAAGGTGCAGCAAGGTATTTGAGGGGCAGCGAGACCTGGAACGCGGAAGCACTTCATCGCTCGTTCCAACAAGACGGCGCACCCTGTTTGATAGCGATCAGAGAGGTGGCGATTGCAGGAAGAGCAGGCCTAAGAGTGAGCTGAGCAACGCGTGCGCTTCGAGGCGCCGTGCCCCTCGGCCTCCCCTTTGTTCCTGTACCGCCAGCCGCTCGCCATAGATTGGTGTACGCATGCCTCATTGCGCGGCTCGCTGCTGCTTCTGCAAGGTGGCCATCTCCTGCTGCAACAGCCTCTTGGCGTGGGCCAGGTAGGCGCGCCCCAGCCGCTTCTGCCCGATGCGGTAGAGCAGGCAGTGTGTTTGGTTGAGCGTCAGAGCGGCGCCCGCTGCCGCCAGCAGCTGCTCGTCCTGCTCCAGCGGGCCCGTGCCTGCAGTGCCACCCAGCAGCGCAAGGCCCCGCCATTAACCACATTGCCCTGTCCCGATCAAAGCAGAGGATGCCATCGCAGCCTTGTGCTGATCTTGCGTGCTCCCAGGGTCTCACCCGCCTCTGGCGACTCCATCTCCGCCGCCTTCAACTCCAGCAGCCGCACAAGTGTGGTGAGCACTGCCAGGCGCAGCCCAGACCGCTCCTGCTCGGTGGCGCTGCCGCCGACATCTGCGCCGCCTCCTGCGCCTGAAGCCAAGCTGCCCACTTGCAGTTGCTGCTGCACTTGCTGCTGGGGCAGCAAAAAAACCTCCAGCGTCTCCACCACGCCCTCCGGCAGGCCAGTACCCAGCCCCCCGCCTGTCCCGCCACCGCCTGCCGCCACCGCCCCGCCGCCGCTGCTCAGCCGCACCAGGTCGGCCGCGGGCAGGTGCACCTGCGGCAGCAGGCCGCGCCTCTGCAGCAAAGCTATGCGCGCCAGCAGCTGCTCGTCCCACTCTCTGGCCGGAGGCAGCGGCAGCATCAGCGTCAACACCTCGCTCTCGTTGTTTCCGGGCAGGGCAAAACCGTACAGGAACAGCAGCTCTTCGTTGCCCTTGTTGCCATAATCAATGGTCAGCTCGGCGCCCGGCGCCGGCGCGCCGCGCCGGGGGCAGACCAGACTGATGGCGCCCTGCGGCCTCCCCGCATGTTTGGATCGCGGGCGCCTGTGCTGCGCCAAGGCATCCTCCACTTGCAGGGCGACCTCCACGGCATGGTTGCAGAAGTCCAGCCCTGCATAGGAGAAGGCACAGCGCGTAAGGAAAGCAGCGGGCGGCAGCCAGAACAGCAGCCGGCCAGCCAAACTGGCCCACCTGGCACGATGCCTTCCTGGATGGCCACCGAGCTGCCGCCGTCGGGGGTTGGGCTGGGGAAGGCAATGGCACGCGACCTGCAGGGCAGCGCCAAACAGGCAGCTGGATTAGGACGCAGGTGGCAACAGGCTGGCCAGCGCACAGGAGAGGCATCCAGGTGCACCTCAACGCTCCTCCAAGCGCCAATCCATAGTCCTGCTATCAGCCTGGCCCACAGCAGGGCGTGGCGGCGCACCAGAAGACCGAGTTGGCCCACAGCCAGTCGTCGAGGCCAGGCGCCGCCTGCAGCCCCGATGCCTGTGCCAGCTGCCGCGCTGAGGGTTCCAGCTTCTCCCAGGCGCCGCGCAGGCTGTCCCGGCGCAGCCTGCAAACCATGCCAGCCACGCGGCGACGCAGCGCCCATCGGCCAGCTGCCCACACCAACAAGGGCAGCATGGCGGCTGTGCTGCGGCAGACCCCCTGAAGCCTGCCCCTTGGCCCTCACCTGGTAGCTGTGTACAGCGTGGTCCCCCGCAGCCACTGCATGTCCAGCTCCGAGAAGAACAGGGTGGTGCCAAAGGAGGTGGGCAGCAGCGCCAGCCAGGCCAGCTCGCCGCCGGTGCCGGGCCCGCGCTCACGCAGCCGATGCCGCTCCACCGCCAAGTGCAGCATGACGACGTCTCGTCCGTCGGCCACTCCCAGCTCCAGCAGCTGCTGCAGTATTGGTCCCTGCTGTGGGTGCCGTGCCAGGGTGGCGGCGGTGAGGGTGCTGGAGAGCGGGAAGCTGGCGACGGTGACGGCGGCGTTGCGGCCCGCGCCCGCCCAGCCTGCCACCGTTCCCCAGAAGCTGCGCGCGACGCGCTGGCGAATGGCATCGGTGGCATACGCACCGTACCGCCCTGCGTCCTGCACCCAAGGGGCAACGATTTGGGGGGTGGGTCGTGGCACGACAGGAGCACACACTGCACAGGCGCCCCTCCTCCATCCAGTGAGCCACAGCTACACACCGTGTCTGATTGCTTGAAATCTATTGCCGCTATATCAGCTCCCTGCTGCTGCAGCCAGGCAGCCATCGCTGTAAGCTGTTCGGCGGTGGTCTGGCTGGCGGCAGCGGCAGCGCAGTCTGCTCGGGGCGGATGCTGGGCATCGGCGTCGTAACAACTAGCTGGAAAATCTATCCATGGGTGCAGGGCAAGGCCAGAAGCAGCGCAGAGAGCGCCGCTCAGCTTCCGCGCAAACATCGCGGCGAATCGCCGACCCCAAGGCCCGACCCTTGCCGGCTGCAAGGGATGTACAGTGCTAGGCCTTACAATTGATCCGGCAATCAGCTGGCAAGGTGCTTTGCCCTCTGGGCGGGACAACCGGGGTAGTGCAGCACCTTCATCTCCCAGTCAGGAATTCTGGGTTCAGATACACTCGCACACTCACTGCAAAACAATCATGGCATTGGGTGTGGCTGTTGCAAGCACACCACAGCTGGGAGGCGTGGGTTCCGCCGTCCCCTTCACGGCAGCCGCAACCAGACCCTGCCATGCTGCTGGGAGCGCCAGGCAGCTCCGCCCAGCCCGCCAGGCGGCCACCTGTGCTAGCGCCGCCGGCGGGTGGGTGGCCGCGGGCAGCAGTTGCACCGGTCGTGCTGCTGGGAGCGCCAGGCAGCTCCGCCCAGCCCGCCAGGCGGCCGTCTGTGCTGCCGCCGCCGTCGGGACGATGGCGGCAGGCAGCAGCTTCATCACGCTGCCCGACGGCATGCAGCTGGAGCTGCTGCACCTGCCGGCAGCGAGCGCTGCCGCCAGCCCCCGCCCACCGCTGCTCTTCATTCACGGCTCCTTCCATGGCGCGTGGTGCTGGCAGGAGCGCTGGATGCCATATTTTGCGGCTGCGGGGTACGACTCCTATGCAGTGAGCATCCGGGGGCAGGGCGGCAGCGACAGGACGGGGGCCGACGGCAAGCAGCTCGCGGTCTCTGGCGATCTGCAATCCCTCACGGATGACCTGGCGCACGTGGTGGCCGCGCTGCCCTCGCCCCCCATCCTGGTGGCGCACTCATTCGGGGCTTTGCTGGCAGAGAAGTACGCCACGGAGCTGGGCGGCGGCGGCAGCGGCTCGGCGCGACCGCCCCTCGCAGGCATTGCGGTGGTGTGCGGAGTGCCACCAAGCGGCAACAAGACGATCATCCTGAGGGTGTGCAAGACATCGCTGGTGCTTGCCTGGAGGATCACCTGGTGGGTGGATGAGGTGCCTGGGGCAGCACTTCTGCGAGGGCGACGGGTTATGACCCGCTGTCAACACACTCCGCTGCCCCACCTGCAGGGCGTTTGTGGGCAAGTCGTTTGCGCGTAGCCTGGATGAGTGCCGCTTCGCGTTCTTTTCCGAGGACCTCCCCAGGGGGGACTTGATCCGCTACCAGGCTCAGCTGGCGGCCTGCAGCCCTGTACGCCTTCTCGACCTGGCCTCGCTCAACAAGGTGACGGGTGGTGGTGACCGACAGGGATAGGCAGGGCAGAGACGAGCAAGAGGAGGAACCTAAAGTTGCACAGCTGCGGCGGCCTATTCCTGGCTGCCAGCGCATGTGAAGGCGCCCGCGCCTGGCCTGCTCCCACCATACAGGTCCTGCCGTTGCCCCAGCTGCCGGCGGTGGCGCGGTCGGTGCCGGCATTTGTAGCGGGCAGCCCGGACGATATAGTGGTGGACTGGCCCGCGGTGGAGGAGACGGCCAGCTGGTTTGGTGTGCAGCCTGTGAGGTGGGACTGCACGGCACACGACTGCATGCTCGACACACGGTGGGAGGCGGCGGCAGCCTCGCTCTGCGCGTGGCTCGACACGGTGCAGACCAGGGCGTGACGCTTGCCTTGCAGTAGATCAGTCTGGTATCGCGCCGATGGAAGCCAGAACTTGGGCTGCGAAATGACGTGTAAACTGCTTATGTGACATTGCTCATGATGACACGTTTACAGCCCATAGGGCACGGTGGCCGGCACCTTCATACTCCCCCGCCAGGTGCCGCCAGGCTGTCGCCGCTCCAGAACCACGGCCGCACGCCAAAGAATCCCAGACTACAAGTTCATCCGTTGATTTGGGGAGAAGGATCAGTGTCTTCGTCTGCTTCCTGCTTACGAGAGCCTGCGATGCTGCCGCTCTGGTTGGGTGGCACTCACATTTTGCTCGCTTGGTTGTTGTGGCGGAGGCGAGGCGCCAATAGAAAAGCAGATGACGCCGTGAACGAGGCTGTTCAGAATGCCGCAGCCCCCACCGCCGCCGCCGCCCAATCGGCAGAGCACTGCGCCACCGAGGTCAACCAGTCCCCTGCTGCAGCCACTGCTGCCGCCACCGCTGCCGCGCCCAGGGCGCCGCAGCCGCGACTGGCGCACCCGCACGCCGACCTCATCCAGCAGCTGTGTAGCCAGCCACCGCCCCTGCAGCCAACACTAACGCCATGGAAACACGAAGATCAGGATACCTTCATTCATTCATTTACCTGGGTCGACACAGTCCCCAAGCTGGCAGCAGCAGCCATGGAGCTCTATGAACAGGACAGGACAGCCCTGGATGTTGAACATCACTCAACCCACACCTACTCGGGCTTGACATGCCTGGTGCAGCTGTCCACAGGTGAATGGCAGCAGCAGCGAGCGGGGGAGGAGCCGACCATTCACTGACAGCCTCTGCCTGAAATCTGCAGGCAGCAAAGATTACCTCATCGACTCGCTGGCCCTGCGTCAGGACATGCACCTGCTGGCCCCGGTGCTCTCCAATCCAAGGATATGCAAGGCAAGTCATCAGGCGTTTCCCGCGTTCTCCCTTTTCTTCCCTCACTGTCCTCACAGTTAACGTTGCAGGTGATCCACGGCGGCGGCAACGATGCGGTGTGGCTCCAGCGGGACTTTGGCCTCTTCCTGGTGAACGTGTTTGATACCGAGAAGGCATGCCAGGTGCTGGGCTACCACCAGCGCTCCCTGGGCGCATTGCTGCAGCGCTTCTGCGGCATCCAGGCTGACAAAAGCCTGGGCCAGCGTGCAGACTGGCGGCGGAGGTGCGCAGGGGTGCAGGCGGGGCCCGTGTCAGCCAGGAAGGCTGCAAGTCGCCTTTGACCAGCAGCGTCCACCACCCTGCCCCCAGCCTTGCCCTCTGTGGAAGGCCCGCTTGGCATCACACACCTGCAATCGCGTTGCCACCTCGCCTCGACTGCAGACCGCTTTCAGCAGAGCTCATAGATTACGCACGCCGCGATGTGCAACACCTGCTCACCATTGCCGACCGGCTCGGCCACGAACTTCTGGCCGAGCAAGGCCTGCTGGCTCAGCAACTGCAGCCCGCTCCTACCAGCACCCAGCCTTCTGTGGTGGAGCAGGGTCTCGCAGCGCGCCACGCCTTGGACGCAGCCATGAAGCCACACAGTCTGCTGTGGCGCGCAGTGCACCGCTCCCAAGCTGTTACGCTGTCGCAGTATCAGCCCACGCCGCCGGCTGCAGCTGTGGATGCTGCTGCCATGGGCCTCATGCGGCGGGCCATGGCAGCTGCCCACGAGCAGCACGTGCGCCTAACCGAGCAGCAGCTTCAGCGCCTTGAGACTGTAGCAGACTGCATACATGCGCTTTGTGTCTGGCGCGACGCCGCGGCCAGGGCCGCAGACGAGGGCCTGCAATGCCTGCTGCCCGATGCAGTGCTGCTGCAGCTGGCAGAGGCAGCAGCGAGGCGGGCGGCGCTGGATTCCAGTAACTTGCGGGGCAGACAGCAAGACCTGGCTGTGCAGCAGTTGCTTGACCTGCTGCCACCAGTGGGAGGGCAGGAGGAGGATGGAGGGCCAGGGAGCTGCGGCTCCTACCCTCGAGTCTTGCAAGAGCAGGCAGGCCAGGTAGGGCCGCCTTTGCCACATGCGGGCGCAGCTGTCAGCCCGCCTCCTGATCCCCCCCACATTCTGATCTGCTCCTCGACTGAGCCCTGTGCGCAGGTGGCAGCGCTGCTGTCTGAGGCAGCCCTGGGGCAGACGCCGTGGGTGTGCGCAGAGGTGCAGCAGCTGCTGCAGGAGGGAGGAAGGACGGTCCACGGCAGCAAGGCCTCCAAGGTGCACGACCCCGTGGCCTTCAAGCAGCGCCTCGCCCAGCGCTTTGCTGCGAAGGGTGTGGTGTACGAGAATTGCTGCATGTATGACCAGGATGGCGAGCTCCTGTGTCACACCGATCGCAAGGTGGGTGGGCTGACCTGCAAATCTAGCTGTGCTGGCTCACTCGCACAACACAGATGACAGGCGGGAGGCTTGCTGCTGCTTGGACAGGGCAGCTCAGCATACCAGGGTGTTAGAGCGGTGCGACGTCAGCACATGCATCAGCATCCGGACCATGCATGCGTGCATGCATTCATGTGCTGCCAAGCAATTGAACTTTGTGCGGGGAGGATCCAGCCCTTCAGCAGGCAGCGCCAGCATCTTGCTGCTGCCATTCAGCAAAGGTGTGCCTGCTGCCCTCCCGCAGAAGCTGGAGTGGTACATCAGGAAAGGGCTCGCCGTGAAGGTCTGTCACTGTTTGCAGTCGTTTTTTTGCATTGCAGCAGCAGATGTGGAACCTTTACGTGCTGCGTCCAGGTCTCTGACAACCCTCTGTCTGTGCGCCTCAATTTCGCGCATCAGACAGGCGACCAGCAGCAAGGCACCTCGGGTAAGGGCACAGAGGGTGCTTCACCATGTTCTGTAAGATGTTTTGTTGGACTGAGATGCTGAACCTTCTGTTTTGTCTGCTGGTCCTCCCACTTAACATGTGTTGCCCTTGAACTCCAGAGTTCTACATCGTCAAGGTGAGGGGCTGGCTTGCCTCGCTGGTCGCACGGTTGGCACCAGCCGGCACCCAATTGCGCCTCATGCGGGCTTGCTGCAGAAGGCAAACAAGTGTGTGTCATGCGGCGAGGAAGGCCACTATTTGAGGTACCGCGTCGTGCCCACGTGCTATCGCCGAGCGATGCCCACTCGCTTGAAATCACACCGCAGGTGAGGCTAGTTTTTTAAAGACGCACCAGTCTTTGCTATTCTCTCGACAGACTGCAATTATGCCTTCCTCTTGCAACGATCCACTGACTACCTGCTGTTCAACGTGACCCCACCTGTCCTGCAGCCATGATGTGAGTACGCGTATAGTCTTTTCCATAGCTGGTTTCCATAGCATGCGCGTGTCGGTTGCACCTGGGCCTTGTGTGGACCTGTGCCGCTGGATCGCAGTGGTATCCTGCATGTTGCTGCACGTTGGCCGTCCCGCGCCTGCAGGTGGTCCTCCTCTGCGTGTCGTGCCATGAGCTAGCTCATCTGGTGAGGAACTTTGGCGTGGCATTCTGACTCCCAGTGGGGCCGTCGGCTTCGCCAATTGCATGGTGTGGCGGTTGTCATCAACATTGAGCCGCCGACAAGGTCTTTTTGTGCAGGCCGCCGACAAGGTCAAGCGTCAGCTGGCCGATGAACTAGGGGTGCCGCTTGTCCCACCTCTCCCCCAGCAGCGGCAACAGCAGCAGCAGGGCACAGAGGCTAACCGGCATTCGGGCATGCAAGAAGCTGCAATCAGTGATTCCTCTGGCGATCAGGCGGCTGAGGGAGCAGCGTTGTCGCCGCAGCAAGCAGGAGCAGCGGCGGATGGAGATGAAGGGCCGGCGGCGGCGGGCTCCCAGGTGGACCTGGAAATGCACCCCTTCAACGTGCGGCGTTCAGCACTGGCACTGCAACGTTATGGTCACCAAATGCCAGATGCCAAGCGCAGGTGTGGTCCCGAGCGGCCGCTGTTGGCTCCGCTTCGGCTGCACTCTACCAAGCCTGCCACTTGTTGTCCTGCTGCTGCAATTGATCAAGGCCTCCTGCGCCAACTCATGCAGGCAGTTGGTGTCGCAGATCCGAACGTTCCTAGGCACGGATTGCGCAGAGGCATCCCAGGACTGCCTGACCGAGCTGGAGCAGTATGGCGGCATGCTGGCTGGTGTGTATGCTGGTGACGTATTCCTCTAAAACAACTCGCATGTCGCTTGGAAGAGCGTCCCCTAATGGGCGTGTTGCCAGCCCTTGTCTCCGTGCAGGCCTCGGGCATAGGACGCGGCGCCGCACCCTGAAGCGCTGGGTCCGGCAAGGGCAGTGCCTGCCCGCTCCCCTGGCAGCCGAGGCCGCAGACGCAGCAGGGCTTGGTGCACCCAGCGGCGTCGCTGCAGGGCAGGCATCAGAGGATGATGAAGCAGAGGTCCACGGCGCCGAGGTCAATGGTGGCGCCATGCCGCAGCCCCCACCTGGCCTTGGCTTGAGCGATCTCCGGAATACGGGGCACCTTTGGCATGGCCAGCAGGTCAGTTGGGGCGTACTGTTTGCATCCATGAAGAAGTTGCCGCCAAGGGGGGTGCAAAGAATGTGCATGATGCAGGTGGTTGAGCATCTGACATCCCAGGGCGGTGACGAGGCGCTGCTGGGGCTCTGCCACCGCTTCAGGCAGTGTTTCGTTGATACACTGCAGCCGCAGGCAAGCGCGGCCATGTTGTGTGTATGCACCATGTTGCCGTTTGCCTACCCCTTCATTTCCCAATGTCAATCTGGCTGATTTGTGCAGTTCTTGCCGCCGGGCTGGGTTTACCATTTCGGCAAGCGGCAGTTTGGGCCGTTTTCAATCTATCATGAAGGAGGCGTGGATGATGGATGATGCCATCAGCCGCGCGGCGCCGCCCCGTGCGCCATGGCGCGCCATTGGAGCCAATGCTTGTCTCTCGCATCCTTCTTCTTCCCGAAGTGTTTCTGGTACAGTCTCCTAGTGTCAAGTGGCTCTTTGAGGAGGCGGGGGCAGGGAGCAATCAAGTCAGCCCTGTTGGCAGCGCCCTCGCCATGAGTGGGCGCGGAGGAAGAGGAGGGCGGGGAGGCCGAGGTGGCAGGGGTGGGACTGGCGTGCCGCACCCTGTAGCACGAGACGACGAGGGCAAAATAGTGCAGACGCAGCAGCTGGAGGGCCCACCGCCCCTGTTTCCGGTGAGCATGCGTGACAGTCATGCCGGCATTTGGCATTCCCACATGGCGGGCCTGTGCCTGCCGCCGCTGCCGCCGCCGGTCACGCCGCCGCCTCAGGCGACTTCACCTTGCCACGTTTCGTTGCCTGCAAGCAGGAGATAAAGGCGGACATGTTCCCGCCGCCGCCAGAGGTCATTTCCGCGCAGACACAGCGGCAGCTGGTGAGTGGAGTGCCGCGGCAGAGGGCCTCACTCGTCCGGGCCGGCTGGATGCGCTGCCCCTGCCTGCAATCCCCCAGTGTGCACCGCCCCACTCCAGCTGGCCACCCCGCGCCAGCACTGCCTCTCACAAGGCCTGCCGCGGCCGCCTTGGCGCAGATCTGGCGGCACCAGCTGGCCAGCTTCTACCGCAACTCCCCCTACTTGCTCAAGCCAGAGGGCGGCGCTACCGGTGGCGG